CTACTACTACTACTACTGCGACTGCTACTACTACAATGCGCAGGCTGCTTTGTTTTTTGTATGCCATTAGCTGTGCAAAAAGGAAATATGCAAATGCTACTACTCGGTCCCTACCAGTTGTCGGCAACTTTAGCTCTCGACTGGAGGTAGCTCAATCTAGAGCGGCCTCAACGACTTTTCTAGAACACCGAAAGGCGCTACAAGCACCTTGAAAGCAACTGACTTTTGTTGAGATTTGTAAAAAGAACGCTATACCAACTGACAGAAAACAGTCGCCTACGAGGAAATTATAGGCGTTCACGCCAGCGAATCGATCGAGTGATCTCGAAGCTGCGATCCACAATTGCTGCTGTCTACGTATCAATCGTTTTTCATGGCGCCACAACTACATCGACTGGTGCTTTACGTGCTGAGTGTACGAATTGCATTCGATAATTAGATACAAAATGTAACGTATCCAAATTGCTTGCCTCCTAACGCACGACGACATGGCGACAAGTGTTGATAAAAGCGACTCGAAGCACACCCTCGATACCAAGGACAACCGCTCCAATCAAATAGTTTTATCGACCGTTCTACTTAATGACTGATGTCAAGCTCGAGCGGAAAAAGATCGTGCCTTCTATTGCATAGCACAAGAATATTTGCTTGCGCTGGACACTGGAACCCGTCGCTTTTCAGCACCTCAGCTTCCGGGTGCACCGTTGTGTCGTCTATCTAAGGTAAACTGCGCTTTCCATAGCGTTATTCGAATCAAATCGAAGACCGCGACGACGAAACCACCACAAAGAGCGACGGAAACCACGCTTGCTAACTTACATCTGAATCTTGCTGAGGTACTGCACCAGACACAAATTGTTGTGCAGTAGCTTCTGCAGATGCTGCCACTGTTGCTGCTGCACACCTCCCAGCTCGTCTGCTTGTGCTAACAACACTGGATCCGCCACGAGCAGCTCCTCATGCAGTTTCAAGAATCGATTGAGGTAAGCTTGAAGTACCTGGAAATCACGTCGAGTACGCATTTCCTCGCGCAGGAATGTCAGGAAACAAGCCAACAGCTTCTTGCCCTCCTCGTCAAAGGCGCCCATACACAGCGTGCTCATTTCGACGTCCACTGCAGACGCAGAGAGCGACTGCATGTACGCCGACACCTTAGCAAAGCGCGAGGCCGCGTGGTCACCATAGTCGTCATCTTGCACCGACTTTGCCAGCAACGTTGCCAGCTTGCAGCGGGAAGTAACCATGCCTTCTGATTTGACAATCCGCGAGCTTGGAGCAGCTACTTCAGCGTCCTCTTCCAGGTCTTCGCCATCATCATCACCCCATACCGCATCGTCATCCTGAGCCCCCCAGTTTTCCAGCATCGTGTCGTCATCGCCCTCTTTGTTTACAACACTCTCCTTGGACTTGGGTGCAACAGGCACAAACGTAGGATGCACGTCGTCCTTGCGCGCGGTTTGAAGGAAGAAAGGAGCATGTTCCGGTGCCTTGGGAGGCTCAATAGGCTTGTTGCGCTTCTTGATAAGCTCGAGGTTGAAGAGAGTTTGCCAAAATGCTCGTGGGGCCGTTGACAACGTGATGAGCGAAGCATCGAGCGGCCCCGGGCTCTCTTCACCTCTTGTATCGACAACGCTTTCTGGCCGCGCTTCGTCAGCGCTTGCCACTAAAACTCGAGGGTTCCGTTCAGTGCCAAAGCCGAGATGGTCGCTGTTGTCGACCTCGTTCAAAGCCACGGGCATGTCCATCAGCACAGGCGTGGTCGGCTCAGAATCAAGAAAGACTTCGGTGAAAAAGCTGCGATTGGCCCACAAGAAAATGCCCACGTGGCCCACGTGCGTGGTCGCAAGGAACTCGCCTGTAGGCGATACAGCTAAGCCAGTCACAGGTTTCTGAAATCGCATCCAATCGACGCACTTGCCCGTTGGAATATCCCACACGCGCAACGATGCGTCAGCAGACGATGAAAAAAGCCACCGCGCATCCGAGCTGAAAGTCATGTCTGTCACGCCGTGTGAGTGTCCTGCAAAACGGCGCACAAGTTTGTACGTCATCACATCAAACAGACGAAGAATTTGGTCGTCGCACGCTACGCACAGCAAGTTGCTATCGCGGTGCAACTCCATCTGGCTGATAGGAGAGTCCACGTTGATCTCATGACGCAGTTCGTGCTTTTTGAGACCCCAAAATTTCAGTTTGCCGTCAATCCCGGCAGAAACCAAGGTCTCGTTCAGCGCATCAACAGCGACGGCGCTCACGGGTCCGTCGTGAGCATCCCTAGCTGTATCGTCCTGCTCGTCGACTTGCAGTACTGACAGATCTGTTCCAGGTAGCACGAGCGAGCTAATGAGCTTCGGCTTCGGCGTCAGTGCCACCGGAAACGAGCCACGGGCTTCGCCGGACTGCATGTTGTATTGGAAGATAGCTCCGCCTGAGCTGCCGACAAGTGCATAGTTGCCACACGAGCTGATAGTCACGCTAGTTGCCTGCGTCTTTTTGCGGCGTAGATCCTCTGCGCTACCCGAAGGAACGCGGTTGCATGGATCAAACTGTCGGAGCACCTTCTTGCCAATAGCGCGGTGCTCAAAGCGCCACACGTAAGCGGCAATCTCGTTTTCGTGGCACGTAATGACATTCGCCCAATCGCGCGCTCGCGTCTCCATAGCAGCAAACTGCACAATCGGTGGCAGCTTCAAGTCCTCGACGCGAACATTCAAACTACGTGCTTTCTTGAGAACTGGTCCCTGCGATAGCTCCCTGCTCTGCTGCTCGCGCGCCGTGTGGAAGACACGGAAGGCGCGGTCCTGACCGGCCGACAAGATCTGGCAGCATGTGCCGTCAGCACCGTCCGACATTGTAGCAAGCGTGTTGTTCCCGTAGTAGCGAATGCGCGTCGGTGGCGCACGGTGACCTTCACGAGACTTGAGCAGTCGAGCTGTACCCCCGTTAATTTGGTCGAAAATCCACAACTTGATCGAATTATCGGTCCCTGCAGACAACAACAACGGCTCGTTGGCCAGGAACTGCAGCGACATCACAGCGCCGTCATGCGCATTCGCAATCACCGACTCGAGACGTTTGGTTTGCAAATTCCACACTGCAATGTCACCCGATCGCGACCCCGAGACCACCAAAGGCGTCGTTGAAGCACCTGCATCTGTTCTGAAAGACGCGGCCGTGATGCCACTTTGCTGATCCTGTCGGAAGTCCAGCACGCGTCGATCCAGCTGCAAGTGGTGCACCATCAGTCGCCCATCTGCCAGCCCGATGCTCACAACGTCCACTGCAGGACTCTGTTCCAGCGCTGTCACTGCACTGCCCCATCCCGTGAACTCAAACACACACTGTTTCTTGCGGACGTTCCAGAGCTGCAACGAACCTTGCTTCGACCCCACAAGGATCTTGTTCAAGTACGTGTCGGGGTGCAGCATTGTCGTGGGCTCAAAGTGTACTGGGAAACTCAGCGTGTCAATGATCTCCATCGTGTCCAAGTCCCACATGATGATACTGCGTGCGTCGTCCAGCGAAAAGAGAATGGTGCCCACAGTCATGAGCTGCTGAATAGCTCCTTTGTGGCCCAGCAACGTCTTGATCTGCTCGACTCGCTTCCAGACGATGATCTGACGGCCACAGGCCGTAAACGTCAAGTGCTTCTTGGGCTGCACGGCCAGAGCCGCAATGCGCTTCGGCAGCTGAGGCGACACGAGCACAGGCGTTAGTTTGTCGCACTTGTACACGACGAACGACTTGCCCAGCGACGCCGTGGCGAAGCTCGCCTTGCCCATCCCGTACCACACAAGTGGTACATCAGCAACCACAATGCCAATGGCGCGAAAAGCCTGCAGCACGCGGCTGGTCGGAGTGCGCGTCAACGTATCACTGGCCATTCTGTGTGCGTCTGTGTAATTCAGTTTGCACGGACGGAAGCTGTGGGTCACTGGTACAGCGTGTGACGTGCAGCGGTGGGTAAAGACGATACGCACAGCTTGAGGAGGATGTGCTGGGGGCAGCGAGACGATGTGGAACGACTGCTGCGCGGCGTGCAATGACACGGAGGCGGCAGTGTAGCCACTTGACGCGATGGTGGTGGTGGTGGACGCCGACTTGCAGAATGACTGGAACCTAGTGTTTCGTACTTAGCCGGACCAGTCCAGAGGGTTCGGAAGTTTTCTGAAATATCGGAGTGCATATGGGTACACACGAGACACACTAGCGGAGAGAATGGATACACACACGCGAACGCTGGTCATGGACAAAAGTCTCTATGCTGCTCGTACTGACTGCACTGTCGTATGTACCTACTCGGAAATCTCCATCTTCTTTGACATTGATTCTGCAGCCGCAGCAGCAGACATAGCAGCAGCCTCACCAGGAGCTTCGGCGTCGCCATACGTGAGTGCACGTTTCTCCTGGGTCTTTCCTAGCACCTTCCGGGCCAGCTCATTGCCCCAGAAGCGCCCGGCCAGGCTCTTGCCAAGCTCATCAGCTTCCGAACAAGGTCCAGAGATGCTTTCTGCAATGAGTCACAAGAAGATGGCCGCCAGTGAGCATAGTACAAGACATCGTACGTCGGATGGTAGCCAAACCATGAACTTACCGTAGATACTACTCTTGCCGTCGCGAGACAACACTGTTGCATTCAACGTCAATGTGTCTTGATTCAGCGACGTACTCACTCCCATAGCAATCTAGTGACAAAAAAAACGTCAGGATGGACTGACTCACAAACCTTCTTTTCCTTACCAAAAGGAATAAAAAACCGCCTCACCTGACATCCACCTTCGAGGTGGTACAGCAAACTACGCTCGGCCTTGCACAAGTGCGCGGATTTCTCATCCGTTATCGTCTTCAGCATTGCAATTGTCTATCATCCAAACGGAACAATCATCAAAAATTACACTTTGCGTCATCATCAACTACCCCACTTCCACACGACCTGCTCATCGTCCGCACGGCATTCCACGCCAATGCTTCCTTGGCCAACGCCGTATCCAAACGATTCCATTGGCAGAATCTCGTCAATGCGGTCGCCGAGTCCCCCACGCCGGAACCCACAGGCCGCCACAATAATAGCGTCGTACTCGTCACCTTCGTCTAATTTGGCCAACCTCGTCTGGATGTTGCCGCGCAACGTCTTGACCTCAAAGCTGGGAAACTGACTCCTTATCAGCGCTTCGCGTCTCAGCGAACTAGTGCCCATCACGCTCTTCTCTGGTAGCTGCTTGAGCGTTGTGAGGCCCTTGGCCTTGTGCTTAGGATGAAGGATCGCTGCGTCTTCAGGACTCTCTCGTTTCGTGATGGCAGCCAGCACGAGACCAGCCGGTAGCGTTGTCGGCATGTCCTTCAGCGAGTGGACAGCAAAGTGGGCGGTCTTGGCGAGCAGCGCTTCCTCGAGACTCTTGGTAAAGAGACCAGAGGCAGTGGATGTACCCAAGTCGCTTAGATGGCGGTCCAAGACTTGGTCGCCCATCGTGTCCTCCTGTCCCACAACAAAGTGGAGATCTGGGAACCGACACTCGAGCATGGAGATGACAGCATTGGTCTGCGCCATAGCCAACGGGCTCTTGCGGGACGACACGAAGATGGTGGTATTCGAAGCGGACGCTGATGACATGATGAGTCAATTGATCAGTGCACAAGTGGACGCGTCCACATGCGGTACACGGTACACGGTACCAAAGCTGACTTTGAGCGATATTTTTATTCATTATGGGTCACATGGTCGAACCGTGTGTTTGCCGATATTTGCAATAAGCTAATCTGACGGTTCGCTTATCCTGCATTCTATCCAAGACGCTAAATGGCCCATTTGCTGGGAAGATCGTTTTCCATTTGGCACTCACTGCAAGAGCACAGTGTCGGCAGAATGTACATCACTTGTTGTTACCACACGGTTGCAAATAAGGATGTGAATCTGCAAGCACTGCACTACACCAAACGATCCGACCAGCAATATTGTTACGAGGCACGAGGTCGTGTATAGTTTCGAGCATGCATACGTATGTATACTGAATCGATCTTCTCCTTTCTCTTGTCGTTGAGCGCACGCGTTTATTTTCCATGCTCAGCACTTCGCAGAAGATATTTGACATTATAATGTCTCGTGAGTGAGACAAACCAGAAACGTCGGTAGCGGTCATGACTAACATGTCTGTCGTTCGAATCTGTCGCTCCGACAATGATAGCAAGTCGTGCATGGCTCAGTAAAATCGAAGTCGCCCAGGAATGTGAAAGGCGACGGAAGCTCGAACCTGTCATTGAATGTTCAGCAGACGGGTGCTTATCCTTATCCGTCCTATGGACAACGACGTCGTCATGGGGTGAGGACCGTTGGCTAGCGAACGGCAGTGTCGCGCATATGTGATCGCTTGTGGTGTATTTCACTGAAGACAAGAAAAAATCATGCGGTGCGTTTGTAATGTGGGCTGCGAACATGTAGCGTGATTGCCTTGAGTGTTTTTTACAATAATGTCAGTGCAAATGCCGAAGTTGTCGAGCACCTGAGATCACACAGAAAACTGCCACCGTAAAGGTAAAAAGACCGGGGGTTTTCTCCGTGACTTTGACTCAAAGTGCCGAGGTTTTTGAATGACATTGCGGAAGTCGTCTCTCTTTGAGCATAAGAATTGCAAATAAGTCACGTACGTGGCACAAATCTTTGTCTTTTCCAAGATGTTAGAGTGTGACGAAACTGGACAGAACGGTGCGTGAAAAATTAATTTAAGAGGCTACGAAAATATAAAGTCAGTCGTAAAATATATCCAGTTCTTTTATCACGTTGGCTATGTCATGCAAATATCCATTCGTCTTACTAAACGAGGTGCAAGAGATTAAAGAAGAAATGATATTATCAAAAATAATATCATTCTATGACTCTTAAGAAATCGAAGGCGCGTATCATCAATCCATGTTTGACGAGCGAGCGAGCAATTTCTTGCTGGGATATACGAGCTTACGTATCTGACTGCTTACCGTCTTCATCGTCGCCTCATCTGTCAATGTAGCAGCTTCTTTCCCCAGATAATGATTATAAGCGAGCGAGTATCTGAGATACTTCACGTAAGTCATGAACGTGTCGATGATACCACCGGTTCCCTTCAGTCGGAGGGCTTCCCAATAGGTTCGAGGCGTGACGTGAGCAGCGTACAACACCGAATCGGGCTTTCCGTCTTCAATCATCGTTACAGCCGTCTGGACACGAGGATTTACGGCCTTGCTCGCAGCAGTTTGTCGCGTTTGCTCCGCACGCGCCCTTTTAGAAGCCAGCCATCTCATTCCCTTTGAGAAAAGCGATTGTGATCCTTCTTTGTGCAATCCATTAACAGCTTCGAACTGGGGTAGTGATATCACCACGTCTCGCGCCACCTCGATATCCTGCGCAACAGGATGCATCCGTTCTTCACTGACGACTTCGTCGAGAGAATCTGCTGCGCCGGACGTTTGTTTGATGCCAGCGTTCGATATGGTGGTTGAGTTCAGGTCCAGCGTTGTCTCCTCCGTCGATATGCCTCTGGTTGAGGCCGGTAGAACCCCGGCCACGACAAGCGCCATCGCGAGAAGAAGATGGGGCCTGTACATCGTAGAGTCTATACCTTAAGAACGGCAGCAAGAAGAATTCCACGTTGGTGCGGGGAAGACAAAGAAAAGAAAGTGAGCCTTCGGTAACATTCTAGCACGTTGTGATTTCATTGGAGGGCATGCGGTTCAATTTTCAAGGATTTGTACTTGAGCGTTTTATCGGGTGAGACTGAAACTGGTGTTGATTTAATTAGGTCTCCTCGGGTCTATGTACACAGACGAAGAGGCCATGGTGTGCATAAATAACTGCGTACGCACCATGCTGTTTATGATTGCAATACATGAGTAGTGCGTGCCCATCACCCGAGCGTACAGCAAGATGAGCGTTATCGTACAGACCAATACATCAGGCTGAATAGCTTGTCCGTTCAACGATGGTCCGTTTACTGCTGTCTAATGCTTCCTCTACCAACGAGCCAGCGTGAGTGCACCGACTTGTAGTCAGAGCACGACCGATCGTCTGGCTGTATTGACTCCCTACAGTCGGACTTCTTGCGGGCGAAACTACTCCGTACTTTTATCTGGTCCTCCCCGTCTGTGTACATAGATGAAGAATCCCGGCATAGAGAACTGCGCGCAGACCTTATTATTGCATTTTTTAGCGTACTATATTACGCGCGCACCCTCAAGATTCGCGGCTAGGGCATGACGAGCAATGCGATTTGGTTCAATGCGGCCAATATTGTACTGTTTGCTATATTGTCTTGTTAAGTTGCCGACATGGCTGAAGTAAATGCTACTTCTTGCATTTGCTACAAATGAACAGATGGGAGAAAACAGGACTGGTTTGGGTTCAGCTTTTCAAATTTGCCCATTCAACAGCACTCGACACGCAGTGTATCCACAATCGTACATTGTGCTACAGCAGCCTAGGCACAACCGTCACCATCGCAGGGCCGGCCGCATTATATGAAGAGTCTCCTACCTCAGTCTTGGCTTACAAGGACAAGTGTAACGCAGTGAACGCTGGAAAGCCCAACGATATCACACTGTACCTATTTGTACTTCCTGAGTGGTAATATTCAAGAAACCTCGGCAATATCACCTGAGGAGCAAGCGAACAAATCGATAAAATTGTTTGCCAGTGGTAATTTTAATTTCATTAAAAATGATGATGACATCTACACCCATCTTGATTATAGCCAGCAAAACCAACCAGCTTCAATCGATCGGGATAAGGATACGCGAGGTGATACTGACCCACTAGTACCGACTGTATGTGATTCAAACTACATCAGAAGGATGCCTAAACATGAATAATATTGATTAGATTGGATATGATACGTCAGTCACCCATTTATTGATAATGAATTTGCCTGCATTGTGATAGCGTCTTGCACGTAGTGTCCGTAAAGTACAGGAGAAACAAGTTAATTCATCATCATATGGCGTTGAATGCTTTACAAACGATGCAGGTGCGAGGGGGAAGAATGCGGTACTATGACAGATTTTGATTTGAGCACTCATAGATCCAGGAAAAGGGTTAATATCGCTCGTAAATTCAATCAATACATATTGATGATGTCTTCAGCAAAAGAGACAACCCCTCGTTATGGAAACTAGTACTTGGCATTCGTCACATTTATTTCTTTAGCGTAGTTGCGAATGACACACAAGATTGATGAATATTGAAGCCGGCAAACATATATACTCATCACCAAAAGAATCTTCGTATCTTCACAATAGTTTTTACCAAACAAGAGGGAATTGAGTTCTGCAGCTTCATTGGACGTCAAGTCCTTTACAGTGACCTAAATACAGTTGCTGTCAGTTGTAGGATATTCTACATCCCTGGATATACTGCTACAACTCTCTAGAGGGCGAAGCTATGCGCCCATCATTCCGACGCTTTAACACGCAAGCAATCTGATATAATTACACTGGCGAGCGTCAAACATAGCACATCATCTACATCGCAAGGCCCGTACGTATTCGAAAGTGATAGTGAGGGCTACATGTAGTTTATACCATCGTGAAATTGAATACCTACGAGCACCAGTAGACGGCTGAGCGTCTCACAACGTGTAATATCTTATAATACTGGACCCGAATGCGCATGTCCACCATTTGTAACATCGGTCAAAATGTATATAAAAAGAGAAACGTTAAGCACCCCTCAGGTTTTCGTTAATCACCCCCACCCCTATATATTACCGTAATTTACTCGATTTAAGCCTTCTGATTGGTAGGATCGAAAATATTACCGGTCTCGGAAGTAAATTTACAATCTCATTTACATATGATAAAATATTGAATCTGAACAATCTATGCATGTCGTTAAGTCGGCGACGTATAAGACTTTTTATAGCTACTTCATATGACCGATTAATGGCTCGGTCAAATTGGACTTTTATCTGAGCGAATCTGGAACAGGTTGGGCTTGTACCAATTATCCTGCACGGGCACTGTGACAAAGGCATCCAACAATGTCATAATCAGGATGGAGTTTAAGCCAGCCGCAAAGGTCTATCAAGAGGCACACCAATCGTCGTATTACCTGCTCAATTGACCAACCAGACTAACGTGTAACTTGATGATGGTAGTGGCTCGACGTGGTGTCTGACAAGAGCCAGACTGATCTTTCCTCGATTGAGTTTCCCCAATAAGGGAGTCTGCATCCGCTGGGCACTACAATTGACTTCGTAATCGATTCAAATGGAGATTAACCGCAGTTTTGACGCCCACTCCTCCTCCTCGTTTTGCACAATGCAGTCAAGTGACTGCTCAAGCCAACAGACAGCAGTGATCACCGGCATCAACGAGGATGGCTTACTGAGTGCTACAAGCTCCGTCGCTTGCGGCACGACAGTTTTTTGTATGAAAACTTCTGTTTAGTCGTTTAAGACAGCCATCAACAAGGTTCTTGTCGAGTACTTTTCCACTCACGGATATAGTGATAAATTAAACTCATATTGATGGTCTTGTTGATTCAGATGGGGGCGCAAGCCGTGGCAAGCATAAATGTGGAAAGTATAGAAATTATGGTATTATATAGGGGTGGGGGTGGTTAACGAAAACCTGGGGGGGTTAACGTTT